AAGTGGGTAAGTTGTATAGTATGTGAACCATCTATAATAATAAAAGTGTAATATGCTAATTAGATCAGACATCCTTCCGGATGACCTTCTGGACGAAGCTGAGGCTGGGAGGGAAGCCTGGGTCCTGATGCCTGAGGGAAGCTGGTGCCAGCAGCAGGGGAAGGAAGACTTACTCTTGAACGAATTTCGTGCATCAGGCCTCTAGTATCTTAATAAAGACATTATACTAAGAGAGAGAGAGAGAGAGAGAAAGAGAGAGAGAGAGAGAGAGAGAGAGAGAGAGAGAGAGAGAGAGAGAACACACACTGATATCTATAATTCCAGACCCACCTGCTGATCTGAGATACCTTTGGGACTATGGAATATATGGGGACAGTCACATCTTGTCTGTCTCCCTGTAGTGGCTCTGCTGGGGGAGCCCAGGAAAGCTGATCTCCTCAGTAACTGGTGTTTGTCCACATTCATTACTGATTTGCCTAAACTAGAGAGACCGTGGGCCATTGCCCCCTCAGACATAATGGTCCCTGTGTCCAGTGGGGTGGCATAGAAATGGATTGTCTGACTGAGCAAAGGCTGCGGAGGGCTGACCCCAATTTCTGTAGCATTCTCTTCCGCAAGCCGAGGGCAGCATGGTGTGAACACTGCAGCCTGAGGCCTGAGGCCTGGGGAGGTAAGACCCCAGATACAGCCCTCAGCCTACAGAAGATAGGGGGTGTGGAGTAAGGACCCCAGCTCCCTCACTTCTCAGTGAGGTGAACTCTCAGGACTGTCAGAGTGCCCTGTGGGTGCCAGCTTGCTCTTCCGCTGCTGTTTTCTGGGATCACCTCCCACATTAACGGCTTGTGCTCAAGTCCTTGTCTCAGGGCCTGTTTCTGGGGAAAGCCAAACCAAGACACCGAGAAACCGAATTCAGTCATTGCACAGAGGTCTGCGTTCAGCTCTGAGCCAGGCTCTGATGTCGGCGGCTGTGAGGCTCCGGTTGTAAAGGGACAGACACAATCGCTGTTCTCCTGGGGGTGAACAAATACACCTATAAATGCCAGCGGGGCTCGTAAGGAACCTTATAGCACAGACATAAAATAGCAGGCCGGTCAATTCAGAGAGGTGGAGTTGAAGGCAGAATTGGGGAGAAGTCACGTAAATGAGATCTGATGTGGGCAGGAGGCAACCTGTGCTTGCATGCATGCATGCATATATGCAGTGGGACTTCCTGTTGGAGCACAGTGGGACGAGGGCTGTAGATCCTAATATCCTAATGTTGCTTCTCATAGTCTCTTGCTTGACCACAGAAGCAATATAAGGGTTCAAATCCTGGTTCTTCCACTTGCCAGCTAGTGACCCTGGCCGGGGACCCCATGCCACAGTGATAAGCTAGGGACAGCCAGTATATCTGCATCATGGTGTTGTGAGGATTGAGAAGTCAGTGCAAAGGTGTTGTCTTGGCCTACCCGATCGCATTAGCAGGCCTGTATACCCTGCCCAGCTGCTGAAGGCAGGGAGGACGAGGCCAGCCTCCTGCCCCCAGGAGAACTCACTTCCCTGAGGTGATCCATGGTCCAGAGCCTGTGCCAGCAGGCTGAGGTCCACAGCCTAATCTAGCTTTCTTCCGCCCCATCCTGCTCCTTACACTCCTTCTCCTGTGAGCATTACCCTCCCCAGTAAACCCCTGAACAAGAATCCCTGCCTCACTCAGAAAGCATTAGCACTGTAAGAGTTCTACATGATTGTCATTGCCTTTATTTTTTTTACCCAGGAAGAGACTGATGTGTCTGTAAGTCTCTTCAGGACCTGGACCAGGTACAGTCATTAGAATGTCCGTTTGATGGTTAAATGTATGATGAATAGCTGGTTCATGAACAGGAATATTCAATATGTCAGTTCTTCCCAACTTGATCTGTGGATTCAACACAATCTCAATAAAAATTCCAGCAAGCTATTGTGTGGCTATTGATAAACTGACCCTGAAGTTTCTGTGGAGAGGCACAGGCCCACAATAGCCAGTGCAATAGTGAAGAAAAAGCCAGAGGATGGATGCCACCCTACTGTGAGGCTTACTGTAAAGCCTTAGTTACCAAGACAGTGTGTTGTCAGCGAAAGGATAATCAAATAGAAATGGAACAGAATAGAGAGCATAGAAACAGACCCGCCCAACTATAGTCAACTGACCGCTTACAAAGGAGCAAAAGCAATTCAATGGAGGAAGCATAGTCTTTTCAGAAGCATAGTGAATGAGCCAGTACGAATAGGGGGAGGGGAGAGAGGAAAACTGTGTGGGTTTCTCCGATTGTGTTTGTTCATATCTCTGTGTGTGTGTCTGTGTCTCCCTCTCCCTCTGCCCCATTTCTAGCGCTGTCCCTGTCATTGTCCCCATCTCCCTCTGTCCCTTTCCTCTTTCAACAACTACTTATTGGGCTGCACTGGATCCCACCATCTCTGCATGGTGAGGGAAGGAGCACCATCTAGGGAAAGGGCACTGAATCCACAGTTCACACTAGTAAGCACTTGCCTCGGGTCCTGGAGTTGGGGACAGGGCTTGGCATGTATAATAGGAGGGAATGGAGGGGTGTCTGTGAATTTGGTGGTGCGTGGCCCGAGACCGGAAGGGAGAATTTGGAGCTAACCAGGCTAAGAGCTTTCCTGGCTGGAGGTTCAGAGATTGAGCCACTGTAGCAGGAGCATGGAAGGGGAGGGCATGCAGGGGTCAACCTTGGGCCTTGGTTCTTAGTCCTAACAGCCTTGAGGGTTTGAAGCCCAGGAGTGGCATGAGCATTTCATAAAAATGGTTCTGGGAGTAACTGCTGGCTACTTCAGCAGACCAAGCAAGATATAACGTGTGCTAGCCTTGCAAATGGATAGAAATTGACAAATTCAAGAGCGATTTAGAAAGTAGAACCGATAAGACGTGGTGATTGCCTGAGGACAATAATGTTACATTATCTGAAAAATTTTTTCAGTCACATCTGTCAAATTTTTTTAAAGAGTAGTCAGGGAGTCTTAATAAATTCTGCTTTTTTAAAAAAAATATATTTTTATAGAGAGAGGAAAGGAAAAGGACATATAAAGAGAAGCCTCAATGTGAGAAGGGAACATCAAGGGAACATCGATCTCCCTCCTTCTGTACACTCCCAACCAGGGATCAAGCCTACAACCTGGGCATGCGCCCTGACCGGGAATCGAACCAGCAACCTTCTGTACAGAATGATGCCCAACCAACTGAGCCACACTGGTCACGGCTCAAATTTTTATAATATTGCTGCAAAGAAAAACAAAACAAAACAGTAGACTAATTCAAAAATTCCCTCTTAGAGATATTTTATGGGGAAAGACACTGGTTAGGTAATCATTGTTAGATGGAAAAAATTTGCTTGAAGCCAATTTGATTAGCAGTCAGCTGAGTGGGTGAGTAATTTCTGAGAATAAGTGTAAATACCTTTCATGTTTTTAGGTTATTGCCAAAGCAGTTACATCAGCAGTGCTCATTTCCTTCTAGAAGGTTATGAATTTCAGAACACACAATGGATCTGTGTCCCGTTGTTTGTTTTGTGGACTAACGAAAAAGAACAGATAAGACTCCCAGGTTTAGGGTTGGGTGAAGAAGGGGGATCAGACCTCCACCCCTCTACCTGCCCCAGATTTATAGACTCCATCGCCCCTTCCAGGGATAGGGCCTCCTGTGGTTGATCAGTGGTTTTCAAAATTTTTTATTTTGAAACAATTTTAGATTCCTGTGGACACTGAAAAACCAGTACAGAGTTTCTGTGTACCGTTCCTCCAGCTTCCCCTGTTGGTAATGTCTTTCATAACGATAGTTAAAAACCCAGGAAATTGACAACATTATGAAACATACTACGGACCTTAGTTGATTTCCACCGTTTTTACATGCAATCGTGTTTTATTTCGTGCACTGTGTTGATGCATGGTGCTACGGAATTTTATCACATGTATTGATCTGTGTGGCTGCCACCACTCATAGGGTGCAGAACAAATGTTTACATTCTTTGCATGTTACTTCATGATTCTGGACCCTTCTTACAGGGTCTAGCTGGTGATTTCAATCTAGCTAGATCCTGTCAGAAAGCAGAAAACTTCATTCATCCCCTCCTCTCGTCTGTGATTTCATTCTCTGCACCCACACTCTGTTGCTGCCTGCAAATGGCCACGCACCTTCCCTGCTCTTCCAACCCTGTCGCTACGCTCACCTTCTAGATTTTGTCTGCCTTCTTCCTTGATCCTGCATCAAAGCTAAGATCTCCTCCCCTCCTCTCTCCAGGAATACCTCTCTCTCCTGTGTCTTTGTTAAGCCCTGAGATGTATGTACCAGGACTCTAGAGGTTGCAAGGGACCCAGGGCTTCAAATAGTGCATCGGGGCTCAATCTTTTCTTTCCACGCCATCTCTGCTCCCCCAGCCTCATATTCTATCAGCTGGCAGAGGCCGGATAAATTTTTTGAATAACTCTGGCCAAATAAGTCCCAGGAGGATTCTGAGGGGCCTCGCTTGGGCCATGTGCTCGTCCCTGAACCAGTCACTATGCCAGGGATGGGCACTTTGGTTATTTCCAGGACCCTTGGACCTGGCTTTGGCTTGCTGTGGTGGGAGGTCAAGAGGGGTGAGTCCAGCTTCATCTGAAGCACAAGGAAAGGGTCCATCCCTGGAAAAGGTGCTTTTTGACAGAAAAAAAAGGGAGGGGGAGGAAGGGATCTGTCAAGGTTGTCTCCTTGCAACAGTGCACAGTTATCCCATGGCAGGGAAGGGGGTTTTCTTGAGTCAAGGTGGAAATCCTCTTTATCTCTGTTATCTGTTGCTGTAGAATGATTCCAATATAGAGTGGCTAAAAACCATAAGCACTTTATTTATTTGCACATAATCCTGCAGTTGGGGCAGGGCTGAGGGGCTGGGGAATGAAGGAGCTGGGCCGCGTTGCTGGGATGCAGGCATGTGGCTGCTTCCTCGGGGGCGTGAGCTCTGGCTTCTAATGGCTTCATGTTCATTTTCTTTCAGTGGATATCATGGAGATCAAGGAAATCCGCCCAGGGAAGAACTCCAAGGACTTCGAGCGTGCGAAGGCAGTCCGCCAGAAGGAAGACTGCTGCTTCACCATCCTGTATGGCACCCAGTTCGTCCTCAGCACACTCAGCTTAGCAAGTGGGTGCATGTCCGGGTGCTTTTCTGCCTCCCCGTGCCTCAGTTTCCTTCTTAGGGCATTCCCTAGAAGCAGGATGTTCACCCCTGCCTTCCTACTAATGTGTTTGGGGCACCATGGGTTTGAATCCTAACCCTGCCCCTTTCTAGCTGTGTGCCTTTGGGCAGCCACTCAGCCCCCATGCGCTGCTGTTTGCTCAGATGTGAAATGGGGAGAATCGTAATGCTGGCTTCATTGGGATGTTGTAAAAATTAGGTTAAGGGCCTGCCTGGCTCACACTGAGAGCTAACGGCAAGTTACATTTTCCTTCAGAGGAGCCTGGCCTACACCACTTACTCAGTTTATCTAATCTGAAGGAACTGTCCAGAAATCTCATGTCTCACACAAGTAAACATGCCCATGTACTCATGCATGCATACTATACGCATGCATGCATATGGGCACATGTATAGACATATGTATCCGGAGGTCAGATTTCTGGTCAGCCCTGTGATTCCATCAGAAAGCCAGAGAGGCCTCTGGGAGGTCAGCCGAAGAGCTGAGGTGTGTTGACTCAGGACAGAAGCTTGGAGTTGCCTTTAGAGCCAGTCTTAGAACTTAGAACTGTATGCACAATCCTGGCCGATAAGAGAGAAAATGAACACCATTAACAGTCAACCAAAGTTGGGGGAAGCTTTGAAAGGTGAGCAGTAGCAGGCATATTTCAAATAGCCATCGTTGATTTAACTTGTCATTCATTTTCCCTCATCAGGCATTTTTTGAACTGTGCTCTGAACTGGGTTGTGCTAGAAGTCAGTGGGGCTCTGGAGATGAGGAAGACAGTTGCTGCCTTCAAGGAGTTCATAGTATCTAGGAGACAGATGTGTGGACAGGAGCTTACAGTCAGTCCCCTGTGATAAGAGCAATAGTCCCAGCATAATACCGTGTGCTGTGGGGCAGGAGTGTCTGTTCCAGGAAAGGCTCTGCAGAGGGGGGAGGTGACGTTTAACCTGGGTTTTGAGGCATCAGGAGCAATTGGGAGGAAAGAAGGAGAGGGTATTGCATATGTAGGCTGGGGCAAAGAGTAGTTTTACAGTTGTGAGAATGGGAAACAGTTTAATCTTGTATTATTGTTTATTAACTAGAGGCCTGGTGCATGAAATTCATGCAACCCAGCCTGCACCCTCTCCAATCTGGGATATCCCTCTCACAATCCTGGACTGTTGGCTCCTAATCGCTCATCTGCCTGCCTGCCTGGTTGCCCCTAACTGACTCCCCTGCTGGCCTGGTCGCCCCTCATGGCCCCCCTGCCAGCCTAGTTGCCCAGTTGCCTAGTTGCCCACACAGCCTACTTGTTCAGTTGTCCCTCATTAATCCCCTTGCTGGCTTGGTTGCCCCATGCAGTCTGCTGTTCAGTTGTCCCTCACTAACCCCCCTGCTGGCCTGGTCACCCCACACAGCCTGCTCTTCAGTCATCCCTCACTAACCCCCTTGCCGGCCTGGTCGCAGGCAGCCATCTTGTGAGGGTTGATTTGCATATTAGCCTTTTATGATATAGGATTATTATATTATTTTCCATATGAACAAATATAAACCTACTTTTGCCCAATCCTGTATTAGGATTTAGGGAAATAGCAAGCTGGATCTGGGGAATAATGATTGTATGTCTGATTGATGGTGTGTGGTGGGAGGCAGAGATGGGGCAGGAGAGGAAGGGGATTGTGACCCTGAGTCTTCAGAGCTGTGTCCACTTAAGCCCACTTCAGGCAGAGTCTGGCTGCTGTTCTTGGTAGGAGAATAGGATAAACCAAGTCTCGGAGCCGAGGATACCAGTCTGTCTCACTTCGGGGCCCCTCTCCCAGGACTCTGGAATTCAAGATTGGATATAGAGATGGGCAAGACTTAGATTCACACCCCAGCTTCTCCTTTCTTGGCCCTGGTACAGGTCTCTCAACCTGCTGAGCCTTGGTTTTCCCCTCATCAGCATGGGAAGAATGAGAGCAGCAATGCTGGCATGATGTTGTCTGGGACCACAAGATACCTGGTGGTTAGGAGATGTTTAATAACTAGATCTGGTGTTATCATTGCCAGCTCCATTTCACTGATGAGGAGATGAGGCACAGAGGGGTTAACTAACCAGCTGAATGTCACACAGCCCTTAAGTGGTGCCGTGGGACCTGGCGATGATGCCAAGCTCTTCACCACCACTTGTTTCCGCTTCCCTCCTGGGCATCAGCATCTCCTACTTCCCACCCTCCTCCCTGGCCTTGGTGGGAAACAGGATTATGGTACAATTATTCCAGGCCATGTGCCCTGTTCATTAGCATAGGGTTAACAGCTAAACCTTCTTTTACAAAATGCCTACTTGCCACCTCTGCTATGGAAGGCTCGTAATAGACTCACGATCTCATCTCAGACCAAAAGCAGGTCTCAGAGCCTTGAAGGTATGAAGGAGATGCCTCCTTGGTGCCCTGCTGCAAAACGGCAAATGGGCACAGGTGTCTCCCACCCCCACCATCTGTATGGGGCTGGGGAGGTGGGGAACCAGGGTCAGTAGGTCTCAAAGCAGTGGTCGTCCCAGAGCATAACGCAGTGTTCTGTTCCCATTCACCTCACCAGCTGACTCGAAGGAAGACGCAACCAAGTGGCTCTCCGGCTTGAAGATCTTACACCAAGAAGCGATGAGCGCATCCACCCCCACCATCATTGAGAGGTATCGGCTTTGCCTGCTATCTCTGTCTTCGCTCACCCAGCCCTTCTGCTCCCTGTAGCCAACATGGGCGAAGGGAAGAACAATGACATTCAGTCTTGGAGGTTCCTCAAGCATCCTGTGTGCAGTAGATGCCCTGTAGTGACTGTGGACCCTCTAGTGTCTCCCAGAATAAGACTCTCTCAGTACAGGGCTTGGCCTTGGCTTGTTAGCATGCTGAGTGCTTTGGAATGACGCAGAAACCTACATTGGTGTTGTGTTTGAGGGGAGGACCAGAGGGCCTCCTTCTTAAAGGATTCAAGAAGGCACTAGCTGACTTAAAGGGCAGTCAGATGCAAGGTCCAGAATTTTCCACCTGCCACCAGGAGTGTCTGGTCAGCATCGTGGATGTTTGGCTGGGATGGTCCCCTCCCCACTTCCTGGAAGCCAAAGCCCTCGATTTCCACCACTTTCCTGACCAGCTTTTTTGGGATTAACGGATATCCTCAGAGGGACTCACCCGTTAAAGAACGCCAGCCTGTACGGGCTCAAGGGGCCTCTTGGCTCAGTAAGGATTCTTTGACCACAAGGAGGAAGCTGCTTTCTAAGTTAGAAAGGTCCTTAGTCCCTGCTCCATAGAACTCAGACTTGTACCCTTTTTCTAACTTTCTCTCTCTCTGCCTCAACTCTCTTTCCAGTTGGCTGAGAAAGCAGATTTATTCGGTGGATCAAACCAGAAGAAACAGGTAACATTTGTTCACATCTTGGGGTTTTTTTTTCCAGATCACGGTGCACTCTAATTTTCATTCTTTCTTGAAATGATCCAGGGGGTTGGGGAATGGGTCATGTTTTGTGCTGGGGAAAGGTCCTCACGAGGTCACATTTGACCTACAATGCGCCCGACGCGGTGCTAGGGGCTGGGGGCGGAGCCTCATGGCAGTGGAAAATTCAAGTCCACCTGCGGAGACGAATTCTCTGCATGGCGCCTTTGGACCTCATCATTTCGGCCTTCACATCTGAGCACCCCTGGGTCCTGGGGAGAAACAGGATCGCCTAGCTCCTGCCCTTACTTTGTGGTGGGAGAAATGGACCATACAGAAGTAAACCAAGTGAACAGTGATGGTTATAAGGGCCGTGCAGACGAGACGGCCATATGGTAACATACATTTTAGTGCATTTGATCTGTTCCCTGAACAGTACATCCCAGAGTGGCTTCCTGTCAGCACATAATGCTCGAGACTGGACACGTCTGTCACAAACGTGGTTTGGCACAGTGGATAGAGCATTGGCCCTCGAACTGGAGGGTCCAGGGTTTGATTCTGGTCAAGTGCACGTGTCTTGGTTGCAGGCTTGATCCCCGTGCGGTCATGTCAATCTCTCTCTCTAGCTCTCCTCCTCCTTCCACTCTCTAAAAATCAATGGAAAAAAAAAATCCTCAGGTGAGGATGAGCAACAACAGCAAACGAAAGGTATGTCCCTGTCATACCTGAGACAGTGACTCCCTCCCTTTTGCTCTTGAATGCCCTCCCCTTTCCAGGGCACCGCTGTGCCAGGCCAGTAGTCCCTGTCACTGAGTCCTTCCATGTTCTTTCTAAAACAGCCTGATGTGGAAGCAGTAACCCTGAATGCTGAAAAGTTTAGTACTGTCAGGTCAGCCAGCAGCCCGCTCCATGTCCCCGTCCGCCTTTCCCTCCTCCTCCGCTCACTCTGCACTCACTCTGGCCCCACGCCCTGGGCCCTGCTCCAGGGTCACAGCAGTGGAACAGAGGGTCCCTCGTTGGAGGGTTCAGAACACACTGGCCTCTCTCAGCCCGGGGTGGGGCCTCCTTGGAGTGTTTCCTTTCTCTGTGGCTCAGGGGTGACTCATAATTGAGATTGGCACAGGGGTGACAGGTGGAGCCTCCTGGGCCCTCCCCGCGTGCGGTGGTGGTACAGCATTGTTGGTTTTATTCCCAAGTCTGAGGCTCCTTTATCTGTTGTCAGGAAGTGGTTCTCTCCCTCAGATGGATCCTTCTTGCGCATCTGTAGAGGTCCATCTTTACATCAGTTGGTCCAGAACCTCCCGCAGAGAGGAAGTCTGTTTCTGGACTCGATTCCTCTCTGTTCCCTCTCCCCAGGCTCCCTCCCAGTGGCAGAGCTTTGCCGTCGGTCCACCAGACCAGCGTGTGGAAAATCCCACCTTTCCTGTGGTTCTGTGAGGCCCCGAGGGAGTTTCTCAAAAGGAACTTTGACCAAGGGGCCAGCAAAAGGGCACGGACTTCTGTTCTGCCAGTTTCCCCTCCTTTCCTGTCGCCCACGACTAATTGCGTTTCCTGAAAGAAAACAAAGGAGCCACAGAAGCAAAGGAAAGACTCTGTGGGCAGGAGGCAGGCTCTGAGTGGGCCCTGCGCGGGTGCCCAGCCTCCGGGTGCTTTCCTTGGCGTGGGCACCTGCTTTCATTGTCAGCATCTCTAGCGACCAACTGGCAGCAGCTGGCACTTGTTGAGAACTTGCTTTTTTGCAGCGGCCACGGTGCTAAGCACTTTTCATGCTGAGGGAATGCTGACGGACAGGGGAGCCAGGTACCTTCTGTCCATTTTATGAGGACACGGAAGCCAGGGCACATTAAGGAACTTGTCTACAGCACCTCACCTGGCCAGGGTTTGAGGCTTACCCATCAGTACTTGATGTTGCCTTTCCTTCTTCAGGCAAAAAATCTTTCTATCCCCTCATTGACCTAAAACATATGACTCAGTTTGTTTTATTGTGGTAAAATAGATATAACCTAAGATTTATCACAGGTGTCCTATCTGGTAAGGTTCTGGACCAGCTGCCAGAAAGACAGATCTCTATGAAGGACTCGCAAGGATCCATCTGAGCAGGTGTACACTTCTGTTAGATTAAGGGCATTCACTTGGTGCACTATCACCACTATCCGTCTCCAGAACTCTTCATCTTGTTATACTGAAACTCTGTCCCCATTAGACAATAAATCCCGGTTCCTCCTCCACCCAGCCTATGCTAACTTCTATTCTGCCTTCTGTCTCGATGAATCCCATTACTCTAGTTACCTCAATATAAGTGGAATCTAATACTTTTTGTCTTGTTATGACTGGTTTGTTTCGCTCAGCAACTCAAGATTTCTTCACGTAGCATGTCAAAATTTCTTTCCTTTTTTTTTTTTTTTTTAAATCCTCACCTGAGCATATGTCTATTGATTTGAGAGAGAGAGAAAGAGAGAGAGAGAGAGAGAGAGAGAGAGAGAGAGAGAGAAACATTGATATAAGAGAGGAACACTGATTGGTTGTCTCTCTTATACACCCCAACTGGGCATCGAACTTGAAACCTTTTGGTGTATGGAACGATGCTCAAACCAACCAAGCCACCCAGCCAGGACAGAATTTCTTCTCCTTTTAAGGCTGAATAATATCCCACTGTATACATAGACCGCACTTCGTTTATCTGTTCCTCTGTTGGTGGGCACTTGGATTACATCCCTCTGTTGGCTATTGTGAGTATTGTTGCTGTGAAGATGGATGTTCGAGCATCTGCTTCTGATTCTTTTGTGCATTACCCCGAAGTGGAATTGCTGGATCAAATGACAAACTGCCATTCTGTTTCCATAGCAAGCACAACCCATTTTACATGCCCACCAGCACAAGGACTCCATTTTTTCTCCACTTCCTTGTCGTCGTCGTCGTCGTCGTCGTCGTCGTCGTCGTCGTCGTCTTCTTCTTCTTCTTCTTCTTCTTCTTCTTCTTCTTCTTCTTCTTCTTCTTCTTCTTCTTCTTCTTCTTCTCCTCCTCCTCCTCCTCCTCCTCCTCCTCCTCCTCCTCCTCCTCCTCCTCCTCCTCCTCCTCCTCCTCCTTCTCCTCCTACTCCTCCTCCTCCTCTTCCTCCCTGATAGCCATCCCAATGGTTTTTCTCAAGCTCCATTGTGGGTCTATGCTTCTTGTACTTTATCTTTTCAAAATTTAAATCATTTTTATTTTTCAATTACATAAAATTACAATATGTAATTTTGGGTTTTGATGTTCATATTCCTAATGACGAGTGATGTCGAGCATCTTTTCACGTGCTTTTTACCATTTGTATATCTTCTTTGGAGAAATGTCTGCTTGAGTCCTTTGCCCATTTAAAAATTTCACATTATGATTTTAATCCTTATTCAGCTTCCACACACTGACCTGGGTTAGGCACTATATAATCATTTAGTTTTCATTTTTACACTTTCATTTATTGCTTTCTTTTAAAAAAAATGCACATGGACTTTTAAAAATCAGTAGCAAAACAAAGTTTCCTAGATAGCACAACCCAGTGCCAAGTGAATTTAGGACAACACGTTTCTCTAAGAATCAGGAGAAGGAAGTGATGACACGTGGGTTTGAGTGCTTTGGGAAATCTTTAAGAATTGAGGAGGAATTTGATCTGGGAATTTTTGTTTGGGTAGGAATTAGATATGGAGAGAAGACAATGAGGTCCTCCTGATGTCTTTCTGAGTGTGTATCCAGCCTGGTGTCCCTTGTTGCTCTTTACACTCTTTCTAGTACTCATTGGTCGGTAGCTTAAGGTGTTCTCTAAATTTTCTTAAGCTCCATTGTGGGTCTGTGCTTCTTGTACTTTATCTTTTCAAAAATTTAAATCCTTTTTAATTTTCAATTACATAAAATTACAATATTATGTTTCAGGTGTACACCTCAGTAAATAGACATTTGTATAACTTACTAAGTGATCATCCCAATAAATCTCCTATCCATCTGACACCGTACATAGTTATTAGAATATTGTTGACTATATTTCCTGTGCTGTACTTTATATACCATGACTATTCTGTAACAACCGATTTGTACTTCTTAATTCCTTTAGCTTTTTCATCCATTTCCCCAAACCCCTCTCTTATCTGGCAATCATCAACCATTTCCCCAAACCCCTCTCTTATCTGGCAATCATCAAAATGTTCTTTGTGAGTGTTTGTATTCTGCTTGTTCTGTTATTTTGCTTTTTAGATTAAATGTTGATGTGTATTTATTGCCATTTTATTGTTCATATTTTTAATCTTTTTAACATTTCATGTAATATTGGTTTGGTGGTGGTGAACTCCTTTAAATTTTTTTCTTGCCTGGGAAGCTCTTTATGTGCTTCTTTTGTAAATGATAGCTTTGGTGGGTAGAGTAATTTTGGTTGCAGGGTCTTGCTTGCGTTTCTGTTGAGATATCAGCTGATAGTCTTGTGGGAGCTTCCTGATAAGTAACTAACTGCTTTTCTTTTGCTGCTTTTAAGATTCTCTCTTTTGTATTTTAATTATGGTGTGAATTCTTTGGGTTCATTTTATTTTGGACTCTCTCTGCTTCTTGGGCTTGTAGGTCTATTTCCTTTCCCATGTTAAGGAACTTTTCTGTCATTATTTTTTTTTAATAGATTTTCAATTTCTTGTTTTCTTTCTTCTCCTTCCAGCACCCCTATGATCCTATGATTGAATGTTGGAACACTTGAAGTTGTCCAGAGATTCCTTATTCTATCTTCATTTTTTTGGATCCTTTCTCTCTCTCTCTCTCTCTCTCTCTCTCTCTCTCTCTCTCTCTCTCTCTCTCTCTGTTCTGATTGGGTGTTTTTTGCTTCCTTATATTCTAAATCTCTGATTTGATTGTCAGCTTCATCTACTCTACTATTGATTCCCTATAAATTATTTTTTATTTTATTCTAGTTAATGTGTCCTTCATTTCTGACTTTTTTTTTTTTTCATGGTTTACATGTCCTTTCTTATTCT